ATAAACAATGTCAACATGCGGTGTTTTTCTGCGCTTTGCAACCAACTGAAACCAATCATACAATTTTTGTTTTTCGTATTTTATTTTTTGCTTTTGATCAGTTTAGACCAGGGGTAGACAATCTTGGCCCTCCAGCTGTGGTGGTGAAACCACAACTCCCATGATCCCTCTGCCTCTGGGAGTCAAGTCCGTGGCTGTCAGTTTTGCAATGCCTCATGAGACTTGTAGTTTCACCACCGCTGGAGGACCGAAGTTGCCTATGCCTTGGTTTAGACACATAGACTGATCAGCTGCATGATCCTATCAGTAGGAGTCTGGTCACTATAAGCCCTCATTCACACAAGAAACGGCCGGCCCGTACAGATCCGTGCTGCGTGCACGGGCGTATCAAGCCGCTCCGGGATGGATCCTGCCTGCGTCTGAGCAGTGACACCCGCACCCGTACGGACGGGCAGTTCAGGTGAGTGTAGGGCAGCGTACGGCCGCGTACTCCCATAAAGAAGGACAGGCTGTTGCATGTAATCACACGCAGTCACCTGTTCTTCCCAGGAGCGGCCCGATACGGCCGTGCACGGATCTGTGCCGGCCGTTTTTCGTGTGAATGAGGGCTAAAAGAGAGAAACAGACATTTTATTTATTTTTTTACGAATTTTAGAAAATTAGATCAGCTGCTGATTGAAATAGAAAGGTCATTGTGTAATGACGGCGGATGGCAAAATGTGTAACAATGATAAATGTGATTTTCTTTTTTTTGTTTAGTTTTTCAATGCATAGACATTACCCTGAAGTAGATCAATAAAGTCTCCTATAAGCTTTAACATGTTTATCATTTCAAAAGTCATTTTCAGTATTTTTGAGTCTCTCAAAGGAGTCTTTCATAGAAAAAATACCTGGTGAACCTGCCATTAGGAGCCCTGTTAGGCAACTTCCTGTTATAGGGTGACAACGCTCTGTTTCTGTCTTTCAATTGCACACCCTCCCAGTGCAAACCTAGAAGTGCCTGTGCAAAAAGACATTCCATAGGCATGTTCCACCGCTGTCATAATCGGGATACCTTCCATAAGAAATACCATCTAGCTGTTGCTGCGTGTAGACAGGAAGTGACTGCACTGGGGATGCAAGAAATAAGCAGTGCTAAGAGGAAGTAAAAAGGTGAAAACTGGTATTATTTTAAAAATGGCATTTCTGATAATCCATGCCATTTGGTTTGGGTTCACCTATACTTTAAAGCAAGGGTAGGCAAACTACAGCCCACCATCTGTGGTAAAACTACACAACCCATAAGGCATTGCAAGACTCTGACAGCCAGAGGAAGATGCACGATAGGATTTGTAGTTTCACCACAGCTTGAGGACCGAAGTTTGCCTACCCCTGCTTTAAAGTACATATTAAAAATAAAAATGCATAACACCTTGCCTCAGTTTAACACTATTGTGCACAATTTTTTAAAAACTTATTTTACTCTTATTGTTAGCTGGTGACCCTGCCAACAAAATTAGATCATGTCATAGGGTGACAACGCTGCTTCTGCAGTATATCACTGTGACAGAGCGGTGCACTCCGGATAACAGCACTGCAGGAACGTCATTGTCACCTTGCACCTTGTGCTGCACACTCCTGATACCTATACAGCAGGAACGTCATTGTTACCCTGCTTCATGCTCCTGACTACTGCAGGCTAATGCAAAAAGCACCTGCACGTTCAGCCTGTTTCTCCACAGCAAGTATTGGTTACTCCTTCTGAAAGAGCACTTTAAAAGAAGCCCTTAATCAAATCTGCAGCTATAAGTATTGTAGAGAAATTCATCTTCAGAGTTCATAACATGGCCAGTGCAATCTCAGATCCTCTCTCATTTTTTTGTTGCAGCAAATGCCTGACAGCCTTCTACACACAAAAATGGTTCCAAGCTGTGGGAAACTGACCGAAACCCAACTTTGGAGTCTCTTCTGATCTTTGAGGATGAATTACTTCATGGTACAGACAGCTACAGGGGTCAGTGAGGGCTTGTTTTAAATCCTCCTTTTTTTTGTGTGTTTGTTAAGGACATGTAAGTACTTTAACGTCAATAGCCCCAACAGAGGTGCACATTCAGGGATCGTGTAAATGGGTGGCGTTGTTAAAGGCTGTCTCTTGCAGTGTTGCTCAGATGCTTGCATTTGATTGCAATACACAGGAAAAGGTTATGTGCGACCTGCAAAGAAAATGTATCTCCAAAAAGGCCTGCAGTACCTGACGAAATGAAAAGTAGGTCAGATGTGGATGCACCATTGAAGTGAATTGAAATATGTGGATATCCATTTGATGTGAGCTGTTTAAACACGTGTCAGAAAGCAAAGAATGCTATTCTCTCAGATCAGATTGTAATTCACACAAGGAAGGTGCACATGGGCAAGGCAATATACAGAGCAATACAAACATTTCCTAACACACTCTCTAGGTAGTCAGTAAAGATGATGGGACTTGGTGTGAACCCAGTTTGCCCGAGTCCACCCAAGCCCAATTAAAGTTTTGATTGCCACCCCCACCTCCTGACTCGCAGTTGCGGCAGGGTCATTTCCTGCCCCTTTGTGACCTATAGCTGAGGGGTGGGGACTGCACCTCCCTGCCACTGATTGGTTTAGAAAAAACGGGTGGTGTCAGAGTTTTGAGTGGGCTTTGGTGACCTGTGTTTGCACTAAGCCCAGGCTCAGCACTAGTAGTCACCACAATCTACCTAATTAAACTGTTTCAACAATTGGGTATAAAGCAGAGGCACAATGCAACACAAAACTCTATTTTAACATAAATTTTGATATTTTAATTGGGAATTTTGTTCAGTCTAGACAGATAGTGTGTTGTCTAAATATATGTCAAAGCATAGTGTCTTAATACATGAGCCCTTAAAGCGACTCTGTCAAGAGTACCGGGGCTGCCATTGGTGGACTATTTTGAAAATGCTAGTTGCCTGGATAGGCTTCAATACTTTAGAGCCCTAGACCCAGGACAAGCATGTTGTACACGTGTTGGGGTTCCTTATCTCTGTTTTTTGTAGGTCTGAGATTTGGAAAGCATTGAAACCAAAGCATGATAACCTCAGAGTGAGCTCAGCAATGGCAGCCCCCATACTTTTCTCATAACGGAGTCACTTTACATATGCAATCTTGGAGAGGAACTGCTGCACTCTTTACTGGATAAAGGAGGGTGCTGTAGTAACCACGGATGGCGCTGTGCATCTTCAAATATATGATAAATGTCACCAGCACACCTATGTCTTGTGAGAATAATCCATCTTCTTTATTGATACAGCCTGTCAAAAAACAATGTTTCGGGGCCACGCAGGGTCCCCTTCATCAGGTTTTAGTATGACTTTACACATGCAAACATACTTCTTTAAAACTTGCATTCTGTTTGAGTCTATGGGAGGAGGCTGTGGGAGGAGATCCTTTAAGAAACACTTACTGTATCTAACACCCTTGGACACAAAACATTTATTAGTTAATATGGACCACTTTCAGCCAGTCTAAAGCCGCCTCATGTTAATGAATGGTGGTGAAGTGAACATAAGATGAGGGCCGAGTTCCCTTGGTAAAAAGAATCCCAGACACATCAATAGAAGGAGCTTCTTCTTCCATTCACCTCCCAGTTCAGGTAACTATCATCATTATATTATTCTGTGCTCTCAGATATTGTTATATTTTTCCTGGATATATTTTGGCAAGAAATCAGTATAATACTTTAGTTTTACAATTATCAGATATTGATAAATAGTATTTTGCAATTTGTATCTGGTTTAGCAATGCATACAAGTGTGTTTTTTAACATGAATAGTCACTTTCATCTAGAACATCTATAACTGCTGTGTTTGCATGGAAATACACTGTAATAATGTTAATCGATATGTTTCCCTAGTCCACAAGTCAATCTCTGCTAATCCCATAAACATATTTCTCAAACTCAAGAACATTTAAAATTTTGCAAAGTTTTAGTAGTCCAGTGAATGTTATCTTATGCAGTCACTGGCCATTTACTAGAGAGAGAAGATTATCTATCTATCTATCTATCTATCTATCTATCTATCTATCTATCTATCTATCTATCTATCTATCTATCTATTATAGAGGCACTCATGGGTCTTGCAGCGGAGAGAAGTCAACATCTAAACAGAACTCAGTCCATCTTTATCAAGACACCAGCTCTGAATGACACTGAGCTCTGTCGAATCCTTGATAATAAAATACCGTAGTGATTCTGTGACTTATCTCCGTTGGAAGTGACCTGTGAGTGCTTCTAGACCCGTTATGGATTTGTATGGATATTTTTTTTTTAGAATTAGCACTCAGGGATTTACATTAAAATTGGAGTAAAGTGACTTTGATCCTTCAAAACACATTGAATGTATTTTTATTTGCTTAGCAATAAAGTTTGAATTTTTATACATTGTATGGCTCTTCATGTAAGGCATTGATCTTCCACTATGCACAAGTGTAAATTGAAGCTAGGGCTGGCCATACATGTATCAATTTCCCCATCCCTGCTAAAAAACTTGGATGGAGAATCCCACGTTCCCTCTCCGGGCTATTGTATTGACAGTGGTGAGTGTGCCACAGGAAGAATACCCAAACAGTGACTTCTGCTGATTGGTAATAGTCCAGTGTTTGGCCAGGAATTTTCAAACCAGCTTCAATGACAAAAGTCACTTGAAGAATCGGCTTTTGACCAACAGAAGGGTGCTGATGGACCACACACTGCTAGAAGCTCTGCAGTCCTGGACACATTTGAATAGCGTATGCCCAGCTTTAGAGGCCAAAAAGCACTGAGTGTTTTCTTTTACATTTTTTAAACAATGAAATCCTGTATAGTAATGCCAATGTCTAAAGTATAGTAGTCAGTATATGGCTATGAAAAGTTTGTGATTATACATCTATTTATTTTTTCCCACAGGGAGATTAATGAGCTGCATTGAAGTTTCAGCCTACATCTTCATCCATTGCAAAATTCACACAGGAGTAAATTTATATCTGTGCTTTGAATGTGACAAATGCCTTAGATTCAAATCTGGACTGATCCGACACCATAAGCATCGCACTGGAGAGAATCCAATTCCACGGGCCAAATACAAATCCCATATACAGTTTGCTTAACAGATGACTCGTATAGGAGAGAAACCAGTTTTTTGCACTGAATGCAACAAGTGTTTTAAATTTTATTCACAGCTCAGAGACCACCAGAGGACTCACACAGGAGAGAAACCATTTACATGTTTAGAATGTGGCAAGTGCTTCACATACAAGACTCATCTTAATCGACACCAGAAGAATCACAGTGGAGAAAAACCATATTCCTGTTCTGATTGCCACAAGTCATTTACAATGGAAGCACACCTCGTTAATCATCAGAGGACCCACACGGGAGAGAAGCCATTTAGCTGTTCGGAATGCGACCGGTGCTTCACGCAAATGGCAAATCTTACTCAACATCAGAGGATCCACACAGGAGAGAGACCATATTTATGTTCAGAGTGTAACAAGTCCTTTAGAACTGAAGCACACCTTGTCAACCATCATAGAACTCACACAGATGAGAAGCCGTTTAGATGTTCAGAATGTGACAAGTGCTTCTCAATGAAGGGAAATCTTAACAAACACTGGATGATCCACACAGGAGAGAAGCCGTATCAGTGTCCTAAGTGTAGTATATGTTTCCGAACCAAACAAGAATTGCTCAAACACCAGAGGATTCACACAAGGGAAAGACCGTTTTCATGCTCTAAATGCCACGAGTGTTTTCATTTTCGTTCACAACTCACTCATCATGAGAGGACTCACACGGGAAACATTTAGATGCTCAGAACATCAATAGTTCTCAAGAAATACTTTATCCTCCCTATCAGAGGATGCACATAGGGGAGACGTCATTTAGATGTTCCGAATGTCATGGGTCAAATCTTACTGAATTTAAGAACTGCCTATAAGAGAGAAGTCAGTCACAGCTGCTTAATGTACTCTAGTAGAGTAGATCTTTTTCTGCATAGAGGACAGATGATTTCATTTAGATCCATGGTTCTCAACTGGTGGGTCGCCGCATGCCTTACACTTTTCTAGGTGAGAGGCTCCTCTGCCTTTCCCTACTGCAGCACTGTCAGTTCTCACACCAAGCAGCCATTTAAAAAATGCTGCCTAGCACTGAGTGTCAGCTTTAGGTGGGGTAGGCTGGGGTAATGGCCGCGAGGGAGCTCCATCCATACATGCATTGCTTTACAGCTCCCTCATGTGCCCTGTAAAGTTGCTTGGACCAGAGTGACATCACATTCTGGCTCCTGGCACCTCTACAGGGTGCACAATGGAGCTGTACAAGCAATGCACATAGATGGAGCTCCATCACAGCACAGCAGCCCACACTGGACCCCAGGCTGGGGATCCACTTCAGTTCTTGTAAGGGAGGGAGACTAGGTGTGTATGTGTGTGTGAAAATTGTCTGTGTATGCATGTCAGTGTTTTAGAGGGCCCGTTTACACGAGTACAGTGCTTTAATCACACCTACCGTGCATTCTGGTGTGGGAGGTGTGTTGCATTGCCTTCATTTGAATGGTAACCCAAACACACCTCTCACCCACAGTTTGTACGCCCGCACCAGAATGCGTGGTACCCTAATGCTGTGCGTTCCATTGCAGTGCGACTAGGGTCATGACTTAATGGCCAAGGTCAAATGTGGGTCCTGAGGTAACACAGGTTGAGAACCACTGCTTTAGATAGTGAGGATGCAAAGAGATTTTCACATGTCTATTTAACACCAGAAAACATATTTTGGAAAAACGTGTAACTTATTTAAATAAAGATTTTGCTAACACAAAAAGTCAAGACTTGTGTGTATACTATAAAGATGCAACATGCTACACATAACCTTTAGTTTCTCGACTGGTGGTCTAGATGATCAGATGGAGTAATGAAACACCACGGGCAAATTACATTGTATTTTGAAGGTTTGTCATGGTGTCGGTTATTGTTGGAAAAAACGACCATTAAACTTTAAATATTCCGAAAAATGCAAGATTGTGATTGGTTCATTGTACAAGTAACATCTTGAATAACAGCCTGTAACTGCCATTGACGATGTGATTATTGGAAGTGTGCACTGTAATGTCTTAAAGGTAAATGGCCTTGGAAGCTTCCTTGTGCCTTGTTCCTTGCGCCTTGAAAGCTTCCAAAAACTTTTATTACAATTAGCACTCTAGTTATGACTAGAAGATTAAGTCTATCACATTTAGCTGTTCCATGTATGACGACAGGATTGCTTACGGTTTTTTATCCCACAAATGTGATTGGGTGATGAAAGTCATTCACTGTTCTAGGGGGAACTTCCCCTGCAAAGTGCAAATTCCCTTGAAGACTGAACAGCTTATTTGTAGTAAATCAACCCAAATGACTCCATGGTACAATTTTTAATATTGTGTGCAAAAAGCATTGCTCTAATACTTCTATACCTGTTACTAAGTCACCTTTATAAGAAATACTCACAAGAAAAGGGATACTGAATATGGGGAAGCTAGCAAATTCAATACGTCATCTAAAGGATGTGTAGTTTCCTGTGTGATGGTAGATTTGAGTCTTTGTGTTTCCAAATTTATGATATTTTTAAAACCTGGCTATTTTTATTTGACAAAAATTCAAAATAAACACCACTGAAAATATCTTGTAGTTTTTGTTTTAGAATCTGAGACTCAACCCAGCTATCAGTAAAAACTGTACACAGCAATAGACAATACAACAGCAGAATTAAAGTGACATTAAAGTCAATTTTCCCCTCCACCCAATGTTAAGTAAAACACTTACCTTAAATGATGTCTCTTAATCCGATCTTCCTCTTCTTTCCTGTCCTTTTCAGCCTTCTCTCCAGTGCTGTGGCGGGGCTCCCATCCAGCGCTGACTCCTCTGTGCTTGCTGGCACTTCCTGTCCCACGGTGTCTGCATGTGGGTGCACACTTCCATAGACTTATCTTCCATCTCTCCCCGTCTCCTGGCCAAAAATCCGAACTGCGCATGCGCCCGCCCAAAGATGCTTTGTGGCCACCCGGGCAGTTTCGGATTTTCAGACGGGAGCGCGTGGCGAAGACGGGGTAAGTTTAAACCGCTTTAAAAAAAAAAAACTTTTTGCATTTTTGCATATATCTACTGCTTGCTACACGGAGGGTTTAGAAACCCTTTAAATGGGAAAGGACAACACCCCAGGACATCTACTGTATATACAATGACGGGTACATTCCTTTGTCACGCGGACCTTTAACATTTAAATTTCTGTATCCGGAGAACAGATTTGTGCATCTACTAAATGAAAATGAAAATCAGCCTTAGGGCTGCTGATCTCCTCCCTTTTCTTAAGATACTGCTCATTTACTGCACATCATTGATCTAGACTTGTCTCTTGATCGTGACAATGATGGACTATGCCTAAGCAATATGTGTCAGGATGGCTGTTTGTAGGCTCTAATGGGGCTATGTGACTGAATGACAACACAGACGAATAATAGGGAGAGAGTTGTCACCCGATAACAAAAATGCCTAAACAAGAACTTTTATAAAAGGATCCCTAGGCATTCTTTTAATGAAATCTGCAGATGTAAATGATTGAAACTTCTGAAAATAAAGCAACATATAGAAGGTTCTATTTAGATCTCGTATATTAATTATAGTGTATATATAAGAAAAATGAGACAAGTCTTTACCTTTTAGATCCTAGTTCAAAAACAACCCTAATGGACCCCCACATTGACTAAGGATAGCCACAGGCACCAGATGACAGTGTGTTGCTGCAGCTGTAAATGGCGAGATCTAGTGACAATCTGGTCTTTAAGGTGTAATATCAGATGCCCTCAGGCAAGGCTCATAAGGAAGGGAGAGTGATCAAATAAATCCAAACTAGATATAGAGGCACTCATGGCTCGCGGAGATAAGGCGAAGCATTTTATTGTCAATGTTTTGATGGAGCTCCATTCATCTTTCTCAAAACACTTGAGTCTTGAGACAGATGGACTGAGCTCCATTGAAACATTTAACAATAAAATGCTGATGCTTTGACTTCTTTCTGTTGCAAGACCTATGGGTACCGCTAGATTTATTTTGGATTTGTATGTATATTTTTATGGCTGTGCATCCAGGCATTTACCTTACAAATAGTGCAGTGGCTACCTCTGGGACTGCAGAATAGGTTGTATGTGGACTGTGGGTTTTCCCCGATTAACATACTGTACTAGGGATCTTTTACTAATTACAGATATTTAAAGCATACCATACCTAGGTAACCAAACACTTGATTTTTGTCTCTGACCACCTTTTACTGTAGAACTTTTTCATCACTTTTAGAAGGACAAATGCAGGAACATGAACGGACGTCTTCAAAAAGCAGTGAACTTGACATCAAACATCAATTATTTACTAATTTAAGACAATTGCACTTCAAAACAGTCTGACCAGGCCTTGAAACTGTAATGCTCCCCATTCATTTCTAAGGATGGGTCCACACTAATACTACAAATGGAATTCTGAGCCATAACTATGAATAGGGATTATGAAATACATGTGTCGCAGTTGCATAGGCCAGCCAGGAATGTTTTGTAGGAAAGCCTGTGTGGTTTTGGTCGGGTTGAGGTTTTAAGAGTGGGGCTTTAAATATTTCCCAAAGGGCAATCCACTATGTTAGGGTCTGTAAAGTTGTCCTTTAAACTTTCTGCTTCTAAAGTTAGTATTCTATAATCCTTTTATACATTTTTTTTTATACTCACAGGTGGACTAATAAGCTGAATTATCACTAAACGCATTAGTTTTCACACATGATGAGCCACATCGGAGACGAGATATATCTCTGCCCTGAGTGTGAAAAAGTTTTCGCTTACAAGTCACAGCTTGAAATTCACCAGAGAACTCACACAGGAGAGAAGCCATATTTATGCTCTGAATGTGACCGAGGTTTCTCTAGTAAGGCCTTGCTCATTAGACACGAGGCGGGTCATTTGGGAGTGAAACCATTTTCATGCTTCGAGTGCGACAAGTCTTTTGTATGTAAAGAACACCTCATTTGTCATGAAAGAACTCACACAGGAGAGAAGCCATTTAGATGTTCAGAATGCGACCAGAGCTTCTCGCAAAAGATAAATCTTATTCGACACCAAAGAATTCACACGGGGGAGAAACCTTATTCATGTTCGGAGTGTGAAATGTGTTTTAAAGCCAAATCAAATCTGAAGAGACACCAGAAGACTCACACAGGAGAGAAACCATACCTGTGTCTTGAGTGCAATAAATATTTTAGAAGCAAGCAAGAACTGTTTGACCACCAGAGGATTCACACGGGAATAAGGCCGTTTTTATGTTCTGAATGTGACAAGTCTTTTACAACAAGATCTACACTTGCTAAACATTGGATGACTCATACAGGAGAGAGGCCATTTAAATGTTTAGAATGTGACAAGTCCTTTACATCAAATACCATGCTTACTAAACATCGAATGACTTCTCACACCGAGTAAGTCTAATTAATCACCAGTTGATTCACACTGGTCAAAAGCCATATCGGTGCCCCAGATGCCATAAGTGTTTTGATTCCAGAGAAATTCTCATCTCTTATCTGAAGGTTCACACATGGGAGGAGCCATTTTTGTGGTCCTGATATGAGACGTGATGTAGAACCATGCAAGAACTGCTCATACACTATAGAAGATACAGAAGACAAAGACTTTTCTAGCTTGAAATGAGGCCAGTCCTTTAAAAGTCATTCACAGCTCACTATGCTTGTAATCTAGGCTTTGCCAAAGTTAGAAGCAGTTTTTATGCTTGCTATATATAT